TTTCAATATGCACCATGCATTCAACAGTCGTAACCCTTAGTGTGTCTTTTGTTTCTACTCCTTGACTGCATTACAAACAGGAGAATGACTTCCTTAGACAAAACAGAAATGATTGAATAGTAAGTGCTTCTCCCAGATCAGACATGACCTCAGAGTGAAGTCATAGCTTATTCTAGCCTAATAAATACGATTTTTTATATCTAGGAGTTTTATAACTAGCTGCCACCTTTATTTACCAATTGACTAGATGAAATAGGCTACACTCACCAAGAAACATTTTTAAAATGCAGATATTCAAATTATTTTGTTCATATTCCAAAGTACAGTCTCTTCTCTCCACATTCCACCCCATGCACAGTCTAGGGGCAGTCACTTCTGTAGGGACAATGATGGAGGTGGGTATGCCATTTGTAAAGGACTTATTTGTATCTTTAGATGCTTAATGCTCCATGGGCAGAGACTTTGTGGTATTGGGTGAGAGATCATATGGAATATGTGTACATGTGTTTGTATCTAATTTAGTGTTTTTAGATCATTCATGTTACTTTCTGTGAGAAGCCAAAAGTAAAGAGTTACATTGTTTTTATGTAGTTTTATGAAGATAACACAGTACTTTTTTATTTTAGTGACATAGCACATTCCTATATCATGAAAAGCTATGTGCTGCTTAGCAAATGATTTGATGAAGTGTTGAAAGTTGCCAATGTTTTAATTACAAAGGAGTAGATTCTAGACTGGGCCTTTCCACTTCTGTTCAGTTACTAGTCTGACACTGACAAGGAAATGCTGGAATTACAAATAAAAGTATCAACTGTCTTAATCTTCTGACTTCTAATACTGTGAGCTCCTCTGATTCCCTGAGGACTTATGGAGTCTAGACAGTCCAATAATTTATACTTATCTAGTTCCCTCAAATCAATCTTTATCCACCCTTTGCCTAAAATTCCTACCTTTGTGTATATTGGGTGAATTTGTCTGAAGAGATGTAGAAATACAGCTATACAACTCACATAGGGCACTAACAACAAACCAAAGGAACAATTCTACCTAATTCTAGCTAGGGAAACAGATACTGTAGTGGGGCTACTCACAGAAGTGTGAATTGAGAGAGATACTTACTGTGTAGCATGGATGACATAAAGGCACTTGCATCACTAAAGCTCTTGCACCAGCGTGGGTGACTGTTCTGAAAACTGCATGCCAGAAATTTTAGCAGCCCAGCCAGTGGAATGGTCTTCTTTCTTCATAACTGTTATTGTTTAGTGTACTGATTGCTTTTTTTCAATTTAATCCAAGCTAGAGTTATCTGTAAGGAGTTATCAGTTGCAGAGAGGGAGGAGTGATGAGCAAAGAGGTCAAGACCAGGCTGGTGAAACACACAGAAACAGCTGTCCTGAACAACAGGGAAGCTCATGGACCCCAGACTGATGGCTGAGAGGTCAGCATGGGACTGATCCAGACCCCCTAAGTTTGGGTGTCATTGAGGAGGTCTTGGCAATCTATGGGGTCTCTGGTAGTGGATCAGTATTTATCCCTAGCATATGATTGGACTTTGGGAGCCTAGTCCACATAGAGGGATACTCTTTCAGCCTAGACACATGGGGGGGAGGGCCTAGACCCTGATCAAAATGATATGACAGACTTTTAAGATCCCCCATGGAAGGCCTCACCCTCCCTGGGGAGCAGAAAGAGGATGAGATAGGGAGTTAGTGGGGGGAAGGGTAGGAGGGGAGGGAGAGGGAACTGGGATTGACATGTAAAACAATCTTGTTTCTAATTTAAATAGAAAATAGAAAAAAAGATAATGCCTCTATCATCAGATTGTCTGTAGGTAAGTCTGTATGCATATTCTTGATCAGTGATTGACCTGGGAGGGTCTAGCACTGGTCCACTGGGGTCAATCCTCTTGTGTGGTATAAGAAAGTAGGCTAAGCAATCCATGTAGAAAAAGCCAGTGACCATCATTATTCTATATCATCTGGTTCAGTTCCTACCTCCCGTTTCATGCCTTGAGTTCTTGCCCAATGATGGGAATGAGATATAAGATGGAAGATTCCCGCCAAGTGGCTTTTGTTCATGGTCTTTATCACAGCAAAAGAAACCAAACTAAGACTCTTACACAAACTAGAGGAGGGGCCCTGTGAATCTTCTAACTTTCAGGAGCATCCTGAGCCCTGTAACTGTATATTATTCACCTCCTGGACCTCACATGTTTTAATTATTTCCTGAGTCTGATAAGCCTCCCTCCAGGAAAGAATGTTTAATAGGAAGCATCTATACAACACCCCGGTCTTTCTTCAGTGTTTATTTTTTCCAACAGGGCTTATGAACTCCCTAGTCACTGACTTTGGTTTGGTTAAGTGTATCAAATGTGAGTTCCTACTGTATAATGAGCATTAAATCTAACCAGAAAGCAGTTAGTTGCATCTGTAACAGCTAAGTCACTATTTTACTAGTAGACATAGCTTGCCTGCCTGGCATGATATTCATCTATTACCCAGGAGTATAACTTGTCAGGTTTTTTAAAGGCAATTATCCCCCATCAACAGGAATTGTGTCTTTCAGTACCATGAACACATTAATCAGGGAGAAAACCTCAAGTTCAGCCCTAGCCCAATTTCTCTCTACAGTAGTAAAGGCTCACCATTTGTTTCTAGTATGCAACAAGTAGCAGTGTCAAGAACCTGAGATTTGTGGAACCTCAAGGTCCTCCCACCTGATAACTTATGGGGAGGTTTCCCACCCTTGGCCATAGGATTTTCATTCAACCATCTCTAGGAGTGCCTTTTCCAACTTTATGCCCATACAGAATCTTTCATTCAAACTCTTGGGGTCATTCAAGCTATTAAAGGATGTTATGGAGTCTTCTCCTAGACACTTTAGCAAATCTGTAAGATACTCAAAGGTTAGCATTATGTCATGGAACATTTTAACACAGTGAGCAGGATATCTGTTGGTATCCATCACCCATCGCAAGTAAGTGCCATTGGACTTGGGTGGCTGGGGCATTGTAAAAAGGAAATATTTGCAAGGTTGAATATTGTATGAGAAGATCTCTTATCAATTATTTAAGAAGAAAAGCAATAATGTGAGCCTGGATAAATGGCTTACTAGTTAATAACACTTGCTGCTCTTACAGAGCACCCAGATTTAGATTTTAGCATCCACATGATTACTGACAACCATCTGTAACTCCAGTTCCAGGTGACCTGGCAACTTCTTTTGGCCTCCATGAGCACCAGACATGCACAAGATAAATGTATACTAATGCCTGAAAACACTCACTCATGCACAAAAAAAACAATTAAGAAAAAAGCAGTATTTGTACATGGAGAGATGACTCAGTCAGCAAAGAACAAGCATGAGGACCCAAGTTCAATTCCCCTAAACCCATGTTTAAAAAGGAAAGCTGAATGTGGAAGCTTGTGCCTTTAATACCAGAGCCACGGAGGCAGATATCACCATCTACAGTATACCTTCTGGCATGTGTAGTGAGTATTTTAGAGAGTGACTACCTTGCCCTAGATTAAGTTTATTGATTTTTATTTGGATTCTTAATTTGTGCTTCTATGAATTGTTTGGGCTTAAAGCCTTTTGGAACTTCAGTAGTGCAACATTTAGCTTTCTCTCCCCCCATCTCTCACCCCACTTACTGAGTCCAGATCGACACACATTGTGTCACATTTTCCTTCCAGGGACTGAGACGGATCTTGTTTCTGCTTTGTCTTCTTTGCATCCCCTCCCAGTTCATAAACATCCCATCACTGGGCTCAGGAAAGCCACGAATGCCCCACATCAGTCCAGAGGTGGGTTAACTCATGGGCCTGAATTAATTTCTTTCTTAGTCCTCCTGTGTACACAGCCCTGTCAGATCCAGTGAGCTGGCCATCAACTATTGGCTCTTGTATGCTCAACTCCCTTAGGGATACACGTCCTTCCTCTGCTGTCTGCTGGTCTCTAGTATTAATGGGGCTCTCATTCAGTGATAGCCAAGTTCTCTAATACCTCATGTGAGCCAGTTTATATGACTGTGAGAGATGAAAAACCAACACCTCCCCTTTATCCATCATTGTTTCCATTTCTCTGTCAAATCAGCTCTAGTATAGCAGATAGTACCTGCATGTCTATTTTCCTGTTGCACATGTCGCATGTCTTATACCCACAGAATAGGCCATGGAGTGGCTATCATTGTGTATATACATTACAATCCATTCCTAATTTCCTTAATGCTAGCAGAGACTTTCTGGGCTCCTTCTCCAGCATTCCCAGTGGTTCTCCTGGCCTTCATTTTCTGTATTTACAGTAGTTACAATGATTTCTCTAGATTGCTGAATCATGACTGCCACATTTTGTTGCATCTTCCAATTTTCCTTGATGATGAAGTTTCAAACAGGTTTGCTTGCCTGAGCTATAAACAAAAATCTCTGCAACACAATCTTTTCTAAATATGTTAATATTGGTATATAGTTACTTGAAAAAGAATAGCAATTGCCTATCATGAGAAATGCACCAGACTTGGTGCATAGTTAAAACATTAATTTGTCAATTAAATAAGACAAGGCAAACAAACAACAAACCCTGATGCTGTCCTGAACTAGGAAACGTCTTTCTTAGACTCCTGGATAGGAAACCTTGCTTGCCTCAACAGACTATAACCAAACAGGATAAGTTACAGCTTAGTACTTCATGGATATAGTTTTGAATATTGACTTTAATATTTACTCCAAAAATGAGTTTCAGGGAGGATTCAGTGGGACACATGTATAACCCAGCACTTAGGAAATTAAGGCAAAAGAGTCAGGAGTTCAATGTCATCTTCAGCTCTTAGGTAAATTCAATGCCAGCCTGGCTACAGGAAAGGGATCTTTTCTCAAACAAATGGCAAAGCAATCTACTATCTTTGACGAATCTGATTAATATTTATTGAATACCAATTTGATGACAACAACTACAAGTACTGTAACTCCACCTGATTAAGACATCACCTGTTCTGTCTTCAGGTCCTTAAAGTCTAGCAGCTGGATTAAAGGAGAATTTGCACGAGGTAAAACAAATAGAAACAGCCAGATGCTGCAAAAGTTAATCTTGATTGACTACTTGAAGCGATTGAGAGGTGCCTGGGAGATCAGTAAAGCACTTCTCGGTGTGTCTGTGAGGGCATGTGCAGAGAGGATTAGCTAACTTACCTTGAATGTGAGCAGGACCAGACAAGAGGACAGAGGTTCCGATCAAATAAAAACGGAAGACAGGAAAGCCAGCCTGCATACACAATGGCCACTCTTCCTCAGTGAGACCATCTACAGCTGCTGTCACCCAGGGACGTCAGCCTCCAGCTTCCTCAGCTGTTCCTGTGGTATCATACCAGTGACTCTCCGGGGAGCTTCCAGCCTCATACTGCGGCTCACACTGGGGCTACATCATCAATCCCCCTGTCTCAGAGATTTCAGCTTCTTGCCCTGAGCAGCTACTGGCTTCCCTTGAACTCCACTCTGCAGATGGCCGTCACAAGATTTTCTAGCCTCTGATGATTTGAAACAATCTAATAAATCCCCATTACAATTATACATGGATTCTATTGGTTCTGTTCCTACAGAGAATCTTAATACAGATGGTAAACAACCTTTTGAGTCATTAAACTTATTTTCAATAAGATTTATGAAGATACAACTGAAGACTTTTAATCAGAAGAATGATTTAATAAAACCTGAGTTCATAAAAACTGCCTTGGCTAGTAGATAAATATTGGATTTTATGTGAAAATCGCAAGATATAGAGAACACAAATAGGAATATACTATGTTAACCTAGATAGGAAATAATACAGGTCTTAGAAACAGTAGTAGCATACATGATGAGGACTGAGAAAAGTGAATTGATTCAAGAAACAGGAATCATAGTAACATTCAGGAATTGACTGCATATAGATAAAAATGAGAGGAGTATTGGGACTCACTGCAGAGAGTAAAGTCTTGGGAAATAGTGTACAGTAGATGGGTGACTAGCTAGTAGTGGGATCTGGATGGTTGTACTTAACTGGCTGGTTCTTTGTGGGACACACTAGTTATCTGTTGATGGGACCAATGCAAATACATTTCATTAACTGATGGAAATGTAGGCTTGATGTTCAAGAGAAAGGTCTGGCCTGAAAATGAAAAGTGAAACATTCTCATTGGTCACTCACAAGTATGCTTACAGGACACTCACTCACAGGCATGCTCACAGAGTGCTCCCTCACAGGCATGCTCACAGAGTGCTCCCTCACAGGCATGCTCACAGAGTGCTCCCTCACAGGCATGCTCACAGAGTGCTCCCTCACAGGCATGCTCACAGAGTGCTCACTCACAGGCATGCTCACAGAGTGCTCACTCACAGGCATGCTCACAGGGTAGACAGGGACTGGATTTCATCCAGAAGTTAGATAAAGAGCTACACAGAACCCTTTCACAATTTCTCAAATTCTTTTTATTTTAACATTAAAATCACTCCACAACAGGTAATGTATTAATGATTTTAACATATTAACTTAATCATAAACATGTTAATTGAATCATCAGGTGGATTTCAATAATTTCCCATCACAACAGGAGTCACAGTAACGGGCAGGCGTTGTGCAGGGTACGAATTCTGCAAGAGGCATAAAATCTTCACAGCAACCTTTTAACATCTTAAGTATTTCTGCATAAAATATAAAAAGCTTATCTTCAGATGGCAACAGAAAAACCATGGTTTATAGTTGTGTGATACACTTCAGATAGCAGTGTATTTCATTGACTTCTTTGCCTGCCTCACAAGTATTTTTACTTTTGTTTATTCCTTTCCAGTATTCCAAAAGTATGGTTAATTTCCAATCCAAACTTTCATTTCCACCCTGAAAGGGATCTGATAACAGCTATAGTCTGAATTTTAAATGTATACACAACACTAATATCATAACCAAGTATAAGACTATATTGAATATTTCTAAAATGTAAAGAATATACTCACAAATTCTGTCATATTTACAAAAATACACCTACACTGGAACTTCAGCATCCAGGGAAGTGCAACTATTTTAACATCTCATTTTCTTATTTTTTGTGTGTGAACAAAATAGAGTCTTACTCATCTTTGGTTGGGTAATATTGAAATAAAAGCTAATTTTATAAAAGCATTAAATAAAATTTGTTAATTCTCCTCTCTTTATAGATATGCTTTTATTTTGTGTACATACTTATGTTACCCAAAAATTGAGTCTTTTTGAAGAGAGAAAACTCATGTGAAAATTAGTTGAAAACCAAAGATTTGCAAAGTGGGATGAACTCAGTTTTTGAGGTTTCTTACCAAATGGATCCATTGTAATGAAGTTATATTTTTACTTAACCTGTTTACTTGACCTGTTGATGATGAGCTCCAAAAAACACAATTCTTCGGTGGGTGTCTGTAAACATATTAGAGCTATGAGTAGTGTGTTCTGTTAGGAGGAACCGCTTACAACTGGGGGAGGGGAGGAATTGCTTACAACTAAACTCAAGTTGCTACAAAATAATTTTCTAGTCTGATTTAGCTTTTAGTGAGAACTTTGCTCCCATGCAGGAATGGTAACAGGAGTTGTATAGGTCCAAAGGACTTTAACAATTAGCAATAAGCAAAAGGAGTGAGTTGCTTACTTGCTATCTGAACAGTAGCTACATAAACAGGGATGTCTCAAAACAAGAAATCAAATGATGTCTTTCATTCTTTTAAGTCTCAAAATTTCAGATTGTGATCCTGAAATTTCAAAACGTTCAACAATTGCACACTTGATTTTAATAACAGTTCATTGCTCACTGGGTATATATGGATTTCCCCATCATTGCCAAAATATTAATCATATAGAAAAATTGCTTATTCTCCTGAAGTTCTCTTGAAGTCATCTCCTTAGTTACAAGCAATGTTTACCTATAGCAATCTCATTTAGATTTCATCTTAGGAAGGGCAATAAAACCAAAATACCATAACAGAGAGCCTATGGCTCCCTAGGAGAATCTGAGTTTGTTCAGCTGCTTTTCATTAGGTGATGAGGGATCAGTGGAGTCCACGGCATCACCAATGCAGATCCTACTGGGCTTTCAGGGTTAACACTTACCTCTCCCTGATACCAATTCCTTATCCAGGGTTCCTTCACTCTGGGAAAACAGTCAAAAGTATTTCCCTCTTGTACTCATAATTCAACCTACCATCTAAGCATCAGTAATCAAACCATTGTAGCACAGCAAATTGCTCATTTTCACCTCTGCTCCGCCAGCCAGTTTTCCAAGAACGAGACTGCCCATGTTTTTCAGTCAATGCAGCAGGAGGTCAGCATGCACTGGTCAGAACACCTTCCCTAACCAGACTGGCAGCTCCGCTCCCAATCCGTGCGCTTTCACCCCTATTTTCTTAGACATTGGTAGCCTCTGAAAAAGAGTCAGCGGGGCCATTGTTCTTTTTGACTTCCAGGTTCTTTTTAGCCTTGACGGTCATGGACACCTCCGAGTGGATGGCATCCAACCGCTGCTCACACTGGAAGGCGGAGAGGAAAGCCTTTCTGTAGTTGCTGTTCATCCAGCCGTAGAGAAGGGGGTTGGCAAAGGTGGAGCACATGGCAATAATGTGGAACACTGTGAAGATGAGTTTATATTCCTTCAAGTCCAGGACGTGGCTGTCAATGTCCACAGCGAGCTGGAAGGCGTGGAGCGGCAGCCAGCTGACTGCAAACACCACCACCACACACACCAGCATTTTGGTTGTTTTGTGCCTTCGCTGGTGGTAATGGTCACTTGCAGCTCCTGGGCTGACATGGTTCTTCAGCTTACTCCAGATCCGGGCGTAGGAGAAAGATATGATGCCCAGCGGCAGAACGTACAGGATTAGTAAGGTGGAAAGGCTGTAGACGGTGCCATATATACTCTTCTCCTCACCAGGCCATTTCTCAGTACAGGCCACGATCTCGAAGTCAGGAATGATCTCAATCAGCGAGTACTCTCGGAAGATAGCCAGGGGACTTGCCAGCAGGGCACTGATGGCCCAGGCTAGACCAATAATCAAAAAGCTGATTTGCTTGGAGATCTTGCTCTCCAGGTGGTAGACAATACAGCGATGGCGGTCCAGAGCGATGACTGTCAAAGTTATTGTGGACACTTGTACTGCCAGGCCCTGAGCATAGGGTACCAAATGGCACAGGACTGGACCCATTTTCCACTCTCCCATTAAGGTGTATGTAAGAGTGAATGGTAGACACAGGGTGTTCACCAAAAGATCTGCCACAGCTAGGTTGGCAATGAAAAAGTTGGTTACTGTGCGCATGCTCTTGAATTTGATTATCACATGGATTACCAGGGAGTTGCCAACTACACCCAGCAAGATGATGGAGCAATAGGCCAATATGAGGACCACCTGCACCTCAACCAGCTTGGTGCTGTCTATGAGCTCCGGCTCAGGATCAGGGGGCAGTCCGCCTTTAGGAGTGGTGTCCCCTGGCCCGTAGGGCTCCACCTTTGCTTCTGCGGTCTGGTTCTCGTCCACCTCGGCGCCCACTGGACCCATCTTCAGCACTGCGCCTCCCAATGGCACCAGAATCTATAATAAAAATAACGTAGGAAATCACTAGTGAAACAGCCACCCTAGAGGGATTGCTTTCATTTAGGCTCTGGCCCTCTAGACAGCTGTGCTGCGATTCATAACACTGCAGACCACGTAACAGCTCGATAAAGCAAGTCCTCTGCATAAGTCTATCCGCACCTATGGATGGATGAAATCGTGTCTTTAACTGCAATCAGGCTGGAGAGATGGCTCAGCCGTTAAAGGCTAGGCTCACAACCAAAAATATAAAATAACTGCAATCGTGATAAGAAGGCATTTTTCTATAGGAAGGAACCAGTTCCACCATGAATGAGATCCAATAGATTCCATTTTAAAGCAAGATGAATTCAGTAAAATTTATCAATTTTTCAATTGTTATGACATCAACAAATTAGCTCAAAGGAAAGTTTTGCCCCCTTTGCTGTTTGAAACTTATAAGCATATACCAGTACACGGTATAGAAAAGGGACAGATGACCCCCTCTGTGCTGAGTGCCTGAACTTTGCCAGAATAAAATAAGACAAAATAAATGGATTCTCACGTAGACACTTTTTCACTTATGCGCATGTGTCCACCCCATCATGTGTTGGGGCAGGGGGTGCAAAAGTAAAGATATATATAAATGATGTGTTGCTTCTCTGCCCCTTGGGTAAGAATTCATTCAGGCATAATTTCTCAGGTGTCATCCATGTTGGTTTTTGAGAAAGGGCTTCCCATTGGCCTGGAATTCACAAACCAGGCTGGTCCTTCTGACCAATGAAACCCACAGATCCAACTTTCCACCTCCCCAGCACTAGTCTTACAAGCACACCCACATTGCTGTTTTGGATTTCACTGAGCCACCTGGTGTTTAATGTGGAATGCTGTACAACTGTTGCTATGTCTAGGGGTCTGAAAGTAACTCCCCACACAACAAAGAACAGCATCCTACAAAAGTACTCCATTAAAAATATGTCCAAGTCCTACTCTCCACACTTCTAAATAGAGAAGTTTGGGCACTTTTCTTTCTTTCCTATCCTGCACTCCAGAATTTCCCCACGTGTGTGATCTGCTACACTCAATACATTAATTAAAGCCATTAAAGCTTAAAAAAGTGATTGACATTCTAGATTTTCTTGTTTCCTTCATGCCTTAAAGATGCCCTCATGCTTTAAAGATCCCCAAGACTGGTCTCCTTCCTCTTTCTCCCACATATCTCTTATCATCATTTCTACTGCATTGGTTTTGTTTGGTTCAGTTTCTTGCCATAATTATTCTTTTAGCCATGTACCTTATTTCTAATTTTCCATTTTTTGGTTTCTGTTGCTTTCCTTCATTGACTCACCAGCTTAATAGATAAAGTCATGCACAATTCACAATGTTGTTTCTGACATTTACAGGGACGTGTATTCAACAAGTCATTGCAAACCTGTCTCCTGAAAGGAGAATCCTACTGGGTGTTAAAACACTATATTGCTTAAAATACATATTTGCTTTTACTATAAATTTATTATTAAGTGTATAAAAGCACTCAGTCTCAATATCCTAGTGGTAATACTTGTGAATATACACATAATCACAAAAGGCTTCTGCTGTTAATTTAGGAGAGCTTTGAATGATTTTTATTAATCATAACAGCATCTACTACTGTTGGCAGATGAATCCTGTTTGTTGAGCTCACAAACAATGCTGGCTGGCCCTGTGTGCCCCCACTCCACTGCCCATCTTTTCTGCTGTCTTGCTCTGTACCAGTGACCTGCACAGAGCCCTCACTTTCAGGCTCCCAAGTTATCAGGATGCTGGTTGGGTTGAATCAGTGGGAAGCACTTGAAGGTAATTAATTAAAAAGCAGGAGGGGTTAGCAGAGCCGGCTCAGTGAATAAAGTGCTTGCCATGCAAATGTGGAGATGAAGAGAACACATTAAAGCTAGATGCTTAAGGCACATCCATAAAGCCAGTTCCTTTGCAAGATGGGAGATGGAGACAGGAGAATTCTCAGAAGCTTAGTGGTCAGGTATGCTGGTGAATTTATTTGTGAAGAAGATACCTGTCTCAAAAATAATCAAGGTGGAAAGTGGGGACGCACACCTGATATTGGGTTCTGTCCCCCACACGTGTGCAATGGCACACCTGCACTCACACACACTCACACATACAAAAGCATACATACACACATAGCACTAAACACACACATCGCATATGCCATACACACATGCATACATACAATACATACACATCATCCATGCATACCCTACACACATACATGTATAACCTACATACATGCAACACCTGCACTCACACACACTTATGCATATGAACTTGTATGCATACGCACATAACTATACACACATAATACATAGTTACATACATCATAAACACCTACCCCCCCACACACATCATACTCACATAAGTAGATTTTTTAAAAGAAAACTGCATGTTAAAAATCAGGAAGAAGGAAGACACCAACACTTGCTTTCTCCTTCTTCCCTCTGTGCTCTTCTAAGGCCCTGATTTCCACCCTGTAGACCCAGTGTGGTTGTTTCCTGTGGGTGGGCCTCTTTCTAAGGTCCATCACGCTGCCACTTCTGTAGGTTCCTTCGGCTTGAGGTAGTAAGGAGGCACTGTTTTTGCAATCCCCAGATAGACCTTACTTTCAGTTTTCATCTCTCCACACTTATATAACCAGTTCTCTGCACAGATTCTTTCTCTTTTATGTCCCTGGCTGGATTTTGTTTGTTTGTCTCATGATCTTTTCAAAGCACACTTTAATTTGTTCTCCCACTAAAATAAGGCTTTGCTCCTTAGTATGGCATTCAAGTCTATGACATCACTGAAGAGGTGCTGGCCTAAGCTCCCCTGACATCCCAACAGACACCTGATGCTCCATGATACTGAATGGCTACCAAATCTAGAACACCTCAGGCTTCCCTGTGCCTCTCCACCCTCCCTGTGGTTAACTAGAGCTTTTCCCTATCTAGGTTAGCCAAAAGGTTCATGCTCATGTCTGCCACTGCCTACAACACAGGGCACACTGTAATTGTTCCAGTTGTCCAACCTAGGACAGCAATCTCTTTGAAGAAAGAAACTGGAACTTCTTGATCCATTGTTTAATTTGGAGGTGCACCATGTAATACATTAAAGACACTCAACAATTAGACAACACCAGTATAAATACAAACAATAATACAATTTGACTAATAACTAATACCAACTGTTTAACACAAAATATAGCTCCATTCAATCCTGTTCTTTACTGAATGTAACAACACACAGGATTCATTGTGTGCTCCAGAAGCCTCATATTAATGAGGTACTTGCTTCTATAAGAAATTTGGCCTAAGACACTCTTAATTCAGTTCTTGAATTACAACCTTTTAAATTGCCTAACAGTATACTCCACACAGAAAATTTCTCAAGTGCTTATATCTATTTCTCTCATCCCCCTACACATGCACACACATGCACACATACACACACACACATACACACACACACACGCACATACACACACACACATACACACACACACACACACACACACACACACACACACACACCCTCCCAGTGGCCTGAGAACTTTCTGTGTACTTGTATTTGCTATACTGGTACACTCTGCATAGGTCTACATACATTTCAGGCAGAACATTCCAAAGATACCAGGCCCCCAGTCATTTACTGAAACAAGGAATTCAAATGATGGCCTGTTTGATAGGCTGTACCCTTTTCCTCAGACTAAGAGGTTGACTTTTTAGAGCACAGTGACTCAAACCATGCAAGTCAACCAGAGTCGAGCAGAACCCCGAAAGTTGGAGCCTGAGGGCTGCACACATGGAACAGGGTATAAGCACCAGGTTGATGGGCACTGGCAAGAGGAGCTGTTTGATTTATTGACTATTTCCCTCTTTCTTTTCAATTCTGTTTTCTTCACTCCGAAGTCCTTTTATTTACAGCTCCTCTGCAGGAATGGTTATTGATCTACAAACTATTAGCATGCCATCATTATGAGCTGTACTTAGGGACAGTTCTAGCCTTGGGCTGGGGCAAAGTGCTACCTGAACACAGAATTTAATCATTCACAGCAGCACTTCTGGAAAAGTAGAAGAAAAAAAAAAACAGAGCACAAGAGGATATTGCCACGTGCGATACTGCTGCTTCGAGCTACAAGCAGGCAGGGGAAGAGCCTTCCCATGAAATAAGGCAAAATGATACATTCAGGTTATTCAAGATACTCAAAACTATGCATAGCGCTGTTTTCTTGAGCAGGTGAACCTTAATTTGTTAAGAGGAAATGAACGTTTTTTTTTTCTTCTGAGCCCTGAGGTGTTTTAATGAGTCGGAGAGCTTTGACTGCTTGTTGAAATCTGTGGGTTTGCAAGTTATTTCTGAAACAGAATCACTTCGGGTCTGTGAAGCTTGGCATCCTATCAAAGCACCTTTCCAGGAATGGTTTCCCAAGGAAGAACCCCAGACACGATGCTAAACACCTGTTAGTCCTTCTATGAGGGGAGATGGGACTTTAACAATGCTAAGCAAGGCATGAGTCTCTGCCTAAGTGGTTCAAAAAAAGTCTGCGAACGCTTCTCTTTTCTGTATCTGTACTTCCTTTCTGTGACAGTAATGCTATCTGCTATCTTCCATGAACGCCGCTGAGATTTTAACGACTGTCGCTTCCTGCCCCACAGTAGAAACTGTGGGTGATCCCATCTTAGAGAAATGGATGGAAGCCTAACTAAACGTCTGTTTTTGAACAGGTTTGGAGAATCCAACATGATCTTACACTTTAGAAGGTGCTTGTTTCATTGTTTTTTTTTTTTTTTAAGAGGCAGCAGAATTGTATCTTACTGTCTCAGACTGTAGTGCTTGATCAAGGAACAGTCAAGGACCTTCAGTAGAAAAGGAAAAGTGTAGCAAAAGAAGAAAGCAAGCATAGTACTGACCCCTCTAGGTTCCCTGTTCCTTCTAAACTCCGGGCAGGGTGGGAGGCTCCCCTGAGAAACACTTCCTTCCCCATGCCCTGTTCCCAGGACAGGACCCCGTTCATGGTCTCACAGGGGGAACTGGAATTTGAACTTACTGTGCTGCCGGTCCTTGTGTTTCCTTTGAGCCGAGGAAGCCAGGAGTGTGCAGCCAAGGGGTTGACGGCCCTGGGAAGCGCCCAAAGCAGACCGGATTCTGTGCTGGACAGAGGTGAGCAGGCGAGTAGAAACCAGAGCTCCCAGCGAACCGGAGCTGCTACAACGTTGTAGCCGTCAGGCTTATCCTTGGAACTCTATGGCCACTGGATCGGAGACCGCTCTGCACAGCGCAGAGCCCAGGGTATGAGGGGATGGGGGACGGAGGAGGTGCAGGCAAACCCAACCATGGAAGGAAAGGTCACAGGTACCAGGACTGGAGAGAGATGGTCTCGCTGGAGGAGTGAGCCAGCTAAGTTCCGTGGCCAGAGGTGCAGAGAGAGTGTCCTCCACACCCAGGTAGCCCGCGCAGTTGCACCCTACGCAGCACAGCGTCCCATCGCACGTGGCCACCACTCCCAGCTGCTGCCGCTGCTACCCTCACTCCGCTTAAGAGTTCTTCAAATCTGCAAAGGAAATCAGGGGGCAGGAGCGATCCCCCGCTGCAAGGAGGGAGCTGTGGTCCCCTGCTAAGTGAACAAGGGGCAGATGCCAGGAGATTACCGAAGATGAGCTGGAGAGAGGCTCCGCACTTCAACGCCCCCAGAGGAATGCAACTCTGGGCAACTGAGTTTCCTGGTGGAGGAGAGCGAAGGTGGAAAGCCAGCCGCTAGCAGGAGCTGCATCCCAAGGACAAACAGCGCAGCATGCCTGGCCAGAGCGCGGGCGCGCCAGTCCCGGGAAGGTAAAACAAGTCCAGAACGAACGTGGTGGTCAGGATGCAGCAAAGCCCTTAACAGGTGCTGATGGAATCGCGCGGATTCGAATCACAAACTCAAGGTGTCCCCTAGGTTGACCGCCGAGAGCTGTCTTTCAGAAGGCAAGCAGAGGACGGCGGTGGGTCTTCAATAGGGCAGTCTTTCTTCTATTCTTTGTCCAGTTAGTCGATTTGAAAATTCTTCACCCTTGGATCTATCACTGCCCAAAATTGCTGGAAGAGCAAGGAGTTTCTGGCAGTGTTCCTCTGGTTGGAACCCGCTCAAATTCCCTCCTAGTAGTAAAACAGGACAGACTGGATGGACTTCTAGTCAACAGCCCTGGGGGGGCAAGGGAAGGGCTGCTTCAGGTTACCCTGCAAAACTCTTAATTCAAAGGCCATCCTTCCAGGGTTTGCTGTAGGTCTTTTCCTTCATCAGTTTTAAAGGGGGAAGTAGAGTCTTCAAGTGAGGAAACATGCAAATGGAAGCCAGGATTGCCTCACCTACCCTGTCTCCCAGCCTTACACAAGTCACCTCATTGCTTCGATTAAAAAAGAATTCCGAAATGAAGATAGCCATACTAGTTGTTGGAATTTCTCTCGACTGTACAAAAAGATGATTTTGTTTAGATTAGATTTCTCTACCTAAAATAAAAAGTTATACTTAGCTAATTTTAAAAGATAATAAATACTCCCCCCTCCACATTAATTACTCCTCTCATGTGGAAAGGGTTTTCAGTCCCGTGACCCCTGAAAGTCACACACACACAGTCATACTTCGTTTATAAGACATGCAGTCTAAAATCGATCTTCAGTTCATGCGTCATCACGCTAGGGAAGCTCTCTTTGGACTTTTCAATTACCAATACATAAAAGTTAATAGGCCTGGAAACAGACATGATGTTTTACAAGCTCTGCTTAAAGTCCTTTTGTGGGTAACTTTTGGTTTAGGGAAATACCTCTTGCTCACACATCCGCTTTAACTGAACAGATTTCCCACTGTTTTGTGGGTTTTGCTTGGTTTTACTTGTGAACCTGCTGTGTGACAGCTCTGCTGCTGAACTCCAGCTTCATATGCTCTCTGGTTTTGTTGTTGTTGTTGTTGATGTTGTTTGGTTGGTTGGTTGGTTTTTATTGCTTGCTTTTTGGTTTATTGATGTTGTTTGCTTGCTTTTTTTATTTGAGGACAGTGTCTTACTAAGTTTCCCAGGCTGGCCCATTCTTCTCTCTGTAGCCCAGGCCAGGCTTGAACCTGCCTAGGAAATGGGTAGTATGTGGTTCCATCAGAGCCAGCTTTTCATGCATCTGAATATTGGGAAGGTGAAGAATGAACTTCATGTGTTTAACAAGTTAAATTTCAAAAGAGCAACACGGGTTTACACAATGACCACAGAAGCAAATAGCCAAGAAAAGCTGGTGAGCAGCGTTGCTGAAGGTAATTGTTTCTAAGACTTTTATCACATTTCTCTGGTAGTGATTGCACAACGTACTCTTCTCTCTTATATTATTGGCTTTCAAACCTTGGAAGCAAGTGTCTGTATATGAACACTGAACTCACTGCCTTACAGCCACACTGATATCTGAAAAGATTAATGTGGTTCCATACACTCTGATCTGCAACTCCACTGATAACAAAAGACCTCCATGACTCATGCCTTTTAGTGAAGTTTAGAATTGGAGCTGATCCACTGCACAATCTAACATATTATCAGCATAGTTGTTCCACTGGTGGCACTGCACATTCAGGTTCTGAGTAAAGTCCTTTAAGGCATATACGTTACAAAACATTAAGAACACTGAACCACTCTGAGCAAAAGCCACACACCTGTGGAATTGGTGAACTAGTGATTAGTAAAAACAGAAACAGGGACAGATTATCGGATCTAATTTCTCTTTTGTTGAGTAGTTTAATTCTTCGGGTGATTACATACCTTTCCAAAAGAGGTGTAGACTCTTTTTCAAACCGTGAGAAGATAGAACCCCAAATGCCTACATACCTAGGGCCAACAGCATCTGTGTGCTCTTGGTTAGGTTGTGGGAGACAGCAAAAGTTGGTAAGAATTTACACATCCCAAGAAACACACAAAGCACACACAAGAGGTGAAGGCAGATGCCTGTTCTTATGCTCCAATGAGCTGCCCTGCAAAAATCTGTATTCAATAGGGTCAGATCTAATTTTTAAAAATCCATATTCTTAAAAATCTTAGACCAGTGAGATGGCTCAAAGTATTATGTAAGTGTCACGAAGTGTGACAAGCTAGGTTCCCTCATAGTGGAAGCAGAGAATCTGTTCCTACACTTTGTCATCTGAAGTCAAGTCATACCAGTATGCATGTGTGCTCACGCACGCGTGCACACACACACACACACACACGCACAACTAGTCTTTCTCTTTCTCACAAACCAGCTCCCAAGTAAATGACACAGAGTCTTATTAAAGTTGAGCCAATAGCTTAGGCTTGTTTCTAACTAGCTCTTACAACTTAGTTTAGCCCATTTTCATTCATCTGCGTGTTGCCACATGACTGGTGGCTTTTCTATTTTCTCTTGCATGCCTGCCTCCTCTGTATCAGATGGCAACTCTGCCCTTCCTCTTCCCAGAGTTATCTCGCCCCCAAATCCTGCCTAGCTATTGACCATTTAGCTTTTTATTAAGTTAATCCAAGTGAAATTTCCTCACAGTGTACAGAAAGATTATTTCACAACACATACCTACCTATACACACCACAGAGGCAGACATACACCTACACATACACACTACACGTATCTGTGTATGTGTAATAAAACATCTTTTGAAATGAAATGGTCCAAACGGATTTTTTTAAAGTAAAAAATCTCAAGTTTTTACTAAAGTAAATGAGATGATACGTAGACAGACAGACAGGTAAAAGAAAGAAACAGAGGACAGAGAGGAAAGACCAGTTCCATGTACCCATGAGGAATCTGCTTGGAGACCTCTGGGAGATGTTCGAAACCATGACAATTTGTTAAAAGTGTGACAGAGAAGATATTAATAAAAATAGTTAATAATGAAATAGAACGATTACAATGATAGAATGTGATAAAAAGTTTTATAAATACATCTCTCTTTAGTATCATACTGTAGTTAACTTGTCCTTTTCCTTGAGACGAGGAGTTATTGTCTCTCTTGGGCTTATCTGAGTCGCATCACTATTCCACTTGGGGGCCATTGCTATAAAGCAAAGGGTGCTTGTCCACAGGAACTTCAACACTCCACAGTCACCTCCATCGCAGAGGTGGCTGCTAATGAAACACAGACTGGTAGCATATGTATTATGGATCCACTAGACATAAAAATAATTTATACCCCGGGCAGGATAGATAAAGATAGTACAAAATTTCATCATATTCCTTAGAATGGCATGCAGTTTAAACTTAAGAACTGTTAGTTTCTGGAGCATTCTATGTAGTGGGTAGAAAAGGGAAATTGTAAAAAGTAAAAGGAAGGACTACCTAGAGAGATATTTGCAGTCTAGACCATGAGCCTCTAGTCTTATAGCCTCTGGCGTTATTTGCTATCTGATATACCTCCCCAAATATTTGAAGCACAGATCCACCAAAATTTCCTCTGCCCCCCTGACTACTTCCCGGCACATAAAAGGCTAAGAGTCGCAGAACGACTGCCAAATGTACCAGCTTTGCACTGCTACAGCTCACACGGGAGAAAATTAGCCATGGATGTGCAGATGTGTTTAGGCTCATGGTTTTGTTCCTTTGCCCTAGGTGGGACAGCAAGTTAGTGTGGAACATGTACAGCATCAAAGCTATTGACCAGCACTCCTTACAGCAGGAGAGAGCAAGCAAGAAGGAAGAGGAGAAAGGGACCGAGGGAGAGAGAGGGCCAGAGAAGGTAAGGATGAACAGCAGTAGGTGAGTCCTCACAGTCCCTTCAGGCCATGCCCCATGTCCAGAAGACTGGCAGACTCGCCTGCATCTCAGTTTCCTTGCCTTTCCACTAGTGCAAGCCACGGGACATCCCTTCAACATATGGTCTATGGATCTCCAACACCAAATAAGTCATTTCTTTTTTGTTTCTGGTTGAATTGGTATCTACAGTCAAACTACGGCAAAAGACCTTTTGGTTAATGGAATAATTTGGATGTTTTAGACAGCTGAGGTGAACAAATTTGAGAACAGTTTGTCATTTAAAGAGAAAAGTTCAGTAGTGTTATCACAGAGCCTCAGCTATCTGCACAAAGTAAACCATGGGATGAGTTACTCCAGTCTAATATTCATACAGAGAGTAAAGGCCTCTTCTGTATAGAAATAATTTCATTTTTATTTTTTCCAGGAGAGTAACTTATAACCATGCTAAGGAAGTCAGCAGTGACAAAACCAGAAAATACAACATCCTCTGTTGAGTAGATATTTTTGCAATAACAATGATATTTATCTGTGCTCTTCAATACAGTAGCTACATACAAGTGGCTATTGAGCACTTGAACTGAGCCACTTTGGGACTGAATTTTAATTTAATCTTAATTTGCAAACGAAAGTAAATAGCCATGTAGAGACAGTGTAAACTGTGGACATTGTAAGGCTAAGATTTTGTCATCTAGGATCCCCATCTTTGGAATATGGGTATAAATTCTCATGGCTAAGATGATCCCTACTTCTATGTAAACTTCATAACCTTAAAAATATGTTACAGATATTATCTCATTTCTGTACATGTAAACATACATTCCTTTAATGGTTGCCTGGTCTTAAACTATATAAATATATTCTGATTATTTATCTCTGTTAAAGAGGGACTGCTCAGTTATCTTATTTATGTTTATAGTACACTTATCTGGTACTTTTGAGACAGGAAAGTTCAGGGTATGTTTGAGTTCAATAGAATTTTTTTCTCTTTGTGACTTTGGCTTGGGATGCTAAGGTCCCAAGAAAATAGACAGCCACTGAAGTTTCTCTGAACCAGTGATCTTCAGGGAATTGTCTCATGAATGTAAAAACTGAAATTCATGGACCATAGAGGGTGAGTTTTAGAAAGAAGTTTATTCTAGATTATAGGTGGGAACTAGAGGGAAAGGAAGAAAGAAAGAAAGAACATAAATAATAGATAAATGAAAG